TATNTATACTATATATATATATATATATATATATATATATATATATATATATATATATATATATATATATATATATATATATATATTATGATCGGCTCAGGGGCCTATCCCCAAACTGAGTCTAGGGTTTAGAGTTTTCTAGCCTGGCCGCGTGGTCTCAAATTTTGAGAACCTCAAATGCGTTGCTGAGTCAAATACTGTGAACAAATTCGTGGCCAGTGCTAGCAGACCACTGTCTTATCAATAGTTAATTAAACGAACTGTTCTATAGCACTGACTTTGAATTGTATTAGATTGGTCTAGAACCGGATCACAATTAACTATTAGATAGCGGTCTACCCCTTTTTCTTAGTGAGATTTAGCGATTTAGCTGATTTTAGGGCATGTGATTTGGCGATTTGGCTGATTTTGAGGCGAGATCTTTTTGAGTGAGTCGATTTCTGGGGAAAACGGCTGTAGTATTAACTGGTGGAGAGTCTGTCAATTCGTGAGCGTGGAACGAATACGTAGACCTGGTGCGAACAAAAGTCGTGTATACGGGCTTAGGCGATGGTCAAGCCACGGAGAAGGTCTGTATTCTTAAGCAGGCGATTAGTCAAGACTTTTTTATGACGTTGCAGGGACGGATGTTGCCCGCAATGCGGGCTGACCCTGACTGGCTTGTTGCTTATGCCAAGCTTTATGCGGGGGTGTGGCCAAAATTCAGCAAGGGTGAGAAGCTAGCGACGATGGCGTCTTTTGCTCGCTTCCCTATAAATGTCCCGGATCGCATGTATGAGGTGTTACAAGAGTTGATAGTATTTTTGTGCGGCCGTTCGATGTTGAAGGTGCTTGTCAATGAGGTGAAAGAGCAGGGCGAGCATCCTGAGGAACCGCCTGCATCGGCCGCTGATTATATGACGGCCATGCAGAAGCGGTTGGCGGCCTACCAAGCAGAGGTGCCGGTGATAAATTTGGATGTGATAACCCTAGCTCCATCAACGGGGGTTACATCTGGGGTGATGGCGCAGGTTGTAAGTGAGACGAGCGATGAGGCGGTCGAGACTAGTGGCCCCGAGAAGCGTGGACCAAAGTCTGCAGTGGAGAAGCGTAAGGAGCTGAAGAGGGCTGCTCGTACGGCGCGCAAGTTGGTGGCGTCGAAGCAGATTGACCAGAGGGCGGCAGGGCTGCAATCGCAGCACCTCTCGAGCCTTAAGGCTGTTGGTCAGCGAGGTGCTGAAATAGCGAAGGCTGCGTCCGAACCTATGCTGGACTTTATTGCGGCAGAGGTTGAGCAATTCTGTACTAGATACACTAATTGTAAGAAGCAGTATCACGCCATATTAGCAATGGCGGAAGGGAAAATGGAGCGATATCTGTTATCCCAGTGCGCGACTGTGCCTAACTTCCTGGAGAAGGTGTTGGAGGAAGTGGAATGGCAGGCGGAATGGGTGGCGGAATTAATCGAAGAGATTTTCCGGGGGGGGGGGGGGGGGGGAGTCGTCCACAGCAGCAGCAGCCCCCGAAAGAGAATGCGCCGCAGCAGCCCAAACCGTTTGATACGGGTTTGCCCAAGGGGCATCGCTACCCCGAAGGTTTCAAGTACTGGAGTTTTGGAAAGAAGCGAGCTTAGGTGTATGCGATCAAGGAAGGCCGCGAGTTGGTGCCCAGTGGTGCGGCACCACGTCCGCCATCACCTAGGAGGCGATTCGAGGTGAGGGCTCGTCAGCCTGCACGACTTATCAGGTGCAGTGGTCTTACCGTACTCGGACGCAAATCGCGACCGGCACGATAGAGGGAATGGCCGCCAAGGTGGCGACAGGGGCGGTCAGCAGCGTGACCGCAACTATCAGTCCGACCGTGGTGGTGTCCGCCAGGACGGCTGGGGCCGAGGGAGTCGTGATTCTGGCGGTGATGACTGGGGTCGTGACTCCCCGATCGAAGGGTCGGGATGATGATGGGGGGCGTGGCCAGCGTGCTGAGCGTCGCCCATGGTGTTATGTTTGCCGTACGTCTGGACATAATCCAGAGCGATGTCCGAAGTTGCAGGCCCCTGCGGCTGGTGCTGCGGCCCGAGGATGAAGGGCGTAACTGAAGGGGTGCGGTGGTCCCGATGCTCCTTGCAACGGATAGGGCGTGGGCATTTGTTGACTCAGGCTGTACGTACAACCTCATAACGGGGGATGCGTTGCATCGCATAGGAATTGTACCTGACGGCCCGTATGACGAACCGCCATTGAGTGGCCTGGACAATAAGGGGAAGTTGACTCCCTCCCACATGGCCTCATGGCAGCAGTTGGAAGTATGCCTCCTGGTGGGTCAGGATAGTTTTGCTTTGGTGGAGGGGCAACCATTTTACGTGGTAACCCAGAGCCCAATAGGATGTGATGTATTGTTCGGTTTTGACCAGGTAAGGGCGTCGGAGTGAACGCTAATGTGGGCCTGTGCTACGATGATTGTGGTTTTACAATCCCTCATTCGGTGGCAATGGCTGGAAGGATAGATACAAATGTGCCTGCTCCCCCACGGGTGAAGGCTATCTTGGTTATCGGCCGGAATGGCTCGCTGGTGAGGCCTCGGAAGAAGAGGCGTAAGATGGCTCGAAAATCGGCAGGAGCAGCTTTCGCTATGCGTCAACTGGTGGAGGAGTTTGCATGGCGCGATGGTGAGGTGAGTGAGACTGAGGACCAGTCTAGTGGTGAGTCGGACACGGAGTTGTCTGACCACCCCGGTGTGGTGAGTTTGCGGTCTTTAAACCCGGAGGGGTTTGGTGAAGACGATGGGGTGCAACGGGAACCGGACGGTCCCGTGGTTAGAATGAGTGGGATGTGGTTTTCAACCCTTATACCAGTATTGCAATCAAGACAGTCAATATATTAGGCGTCAAAGTAAATACTCAAGGGCTCAAAACAGACCCAGAGAAACAGAAACACATGATTGACTGGCCCTTACCAAGAACCAAACGTGACTTACATCGAGCAGTCGGTCTAGCAAATTACATGCGAGACCACATACCTCAGTTTGCACCCATAACGAAACACTTCCGCAATCTCATGAAAGGCAAAATGAATCAAAATATAGTCAATCTTTGGACACCAGAGCTCATTAAGAAATGGGAAGAACTCAAAGATACCATTGCATGCTCAGCAACTTTGGCGTACCCAGTAGATGGAGTACCGTTTCAGATCATGAACGATGGAAGTGACTATGGCATATGAGAATGTCTGTTCCAAATAGTAGATGGAGTCAGAAAAGATATACTCTATTTCTCAAAAGGTCTCAACCCTGAACAACAAAGATATGGGACAAATACTAAAGATTTGTTAGCGCTCGTATACAGTCTAGAACATTTCTCAGAATACATTGTGGACAGATCACAAAGCGTTATGCCAGATGAACAAACAGCAAACGCTGCATCCCATGCTCGCGAAATGAATAGCGAAAACATTCCATCACCACTTCACTATCATACACATGCCAGGCAAGATGATGAAGTTGCTGACAGATTGTCAAGACTACACGAAGGCACATTCAACATCAAAACATTGAATGTGTTGAAAGAAGCCAATGAGCACATACACAATGGTCAGGAATACACTGACCTAGAAACAAACATGCCCATATTAGTGTCTGCCATAGACTGGAAACTACATCCACGATTCTTTCACGATGTAGAAGGCCTGCTTGGTAAATTAACCATCGATTTATTTGCAGCCGCACACAATGCTCAAACCGCAAAGTTCTACACCAAAGAACAAAACGCGCTTCTACAAAAGTGGGCAGATGAAATAAACGCATGGGCGAATCCTCCCTGGGAACTAATACCAGACGTGTTAGACAAAGTCATAGAGGAAGCCACAAGCACTACGATATGCGTTCCGTACTACCCAAACGCAACGTGGTTCCCCAAGTTCTTGTCATTGCTGGAACAAGTTCCAATGACAAAAAACATTTTCTATATGAATATTTATAGATATATTTAAAGATATAGATATGGGTTTAGATATAGACATATACAGAC